CAAGATTCTTGCCAAGAGAATTAATGTGCAGCACACTAAGCACTCTAAGAGGTGAGAAAGCTTCCTGAAACACGTGAAGAAAGATGATTAGAAAAAGAAAGAAGCCAAAGAGAAAGGTACCTGGGTTCAACTGAAGCACCAGCCTGCTCCACCCAGAGAAGCACACTTTGTGAGAACCAATGGGAAGGAGCCTGAGCTGCTGGAACCTATCCCCTATGAATTCATGGCATAATAGGTGTTTAAAAAATAAAAGACCTCTGGACTGTAAAAATGTTTCTCTTTATTGAGCAGAAGTGTGGTGTCCTCTCCCCCAAATATTTAAAGCAAATTTTAATTATGTCCTAGTTCATTATATAATGTCTTTACTATTCAAATTTAATGTACCTCTTGCTGAAAGATGTGAGGTAGCTTATTGTGCAACAAATTGTTTGTGCAACAAATTCGATTGTTTAGAAAATAGCCAGGTATTACGTATGAAATATTTGTACTGGTTTGAAGATAGACCCTCGAAATCATCAAGGAAGAAATAAAATAATTTACAAAAATAAAAAATAAAAAGAATTAAGGCAGTTCTTTGAGGGAAAAGATTTTATATCAGACATGTCCTCTAATATTCTGCTCTGATCACTGCTCAGCTTGCTTTTATGAACCTCTGATCTCAAGTCTCTAAACACTATGGGGACAGGATCTGTGTCTGTCTTGCTTACTGCCACATCCACAGCCCCAGCTTGGTGCCTGGTACATTAGGTTATCAATAAGTGTGTGCTGAATAAAAACTCTAGGCTGGGCGCAGTGGCTCACGCCTGTAATCCCAGCACTTTGGGAGGCCAAGGCTGATGGATCACCTGAGGTCAAGAGTTTGAGACCAGCCTGGCCAACATGGTGAAACCCCGTCTCTACTAAAAATACAAAAATTAGCCAGGTGTGGTGATGTGCGCCTGTGATCTCAGCTACTCAGGAGGCTGAGGCAGAAGAACTGCTTGAATTCGGGAGGTGGAGGTTGTAGTGAGCCGAGATTGCACCACTGCACTCTAGCCTGGGTGACAGAGTGGGACTCCATCTCAAAAAAAAAAAAAAGTATACATATATAAAACCATTTTCTCAACAGAGACAAAGCAGAAAAAACAGAATAAATAAAAGTAACTAAAAAAGGTGTTTTGTAAATCTAAAACTCAAGCCAACTCATCCAGCAAACCCAAACTATGCGTTGTTTCTGACAGCTTTCATGACTGGGACCTACCTGAAAACAGTGGCTGCATGTTGAATAATTCAGCATCGTATACTTCCATTTGGCCAGAGGTCTTGTTCAAAATTCCCACAAAATGCCTGAATAAAGAAGGAATAATACAAGTAATAACGGATTATTCAAAAGTATTATTTGCACAGCTTCCTTTTTTTGTTTTGAGACAGAGTCTTGCTGTCGCCCAGGTTGGAGTGGAGTGATCCTGGCTCACAGCAACCTCACAACACCTCCCGGGTTCAAGCAATTCTCCTGTATCAGCCTGTCGGGTAGCCGGGATTACAGGCACATGCCACCATGCCTGGCTAATTTTTGTATTTTTAATAGAGATAGAGTTTCACCATGTTGGCCAGGCTGGTCTAACTCCTGACCTCAGGTGACCTGCCCCTATCAGCCTCCCAGAGTGCTGGGATTACAGGTGTGAGCCACGCGCCTGGCCCTTTTTCCTGTTTAAAAGTTCTCAACCTTGCCGGGCGCGGTGGCTCAAGCCTGTAATCCCAGCACTTTGGGAGGCCGAGATGGGCAGATCACGAGGTCAGGAAATCGAGACCATCCTGGCTAACACGGTGAAACCCCATCTCTACTAAAAAATACAAAAAACTAGCCAGGCGAGGGGGCAGGCGCCTGTAGTCCCAGCTACTCAGGAGGCTGAGGCAGGAGAATGGCATGAACTCCAGAGGCGGAGCTTGCAGTGAGCTGAGATCCGGTCACTGCACTCCAGCCTGGGCGACAGAGCAAGACTCAGTCTCAAAAAAATAAATAAATAAATAAAATAAAAATAAAATAAAAGTTCTCAACCTTCTCTCTGCCCACACACCTGAGAAATGCATCACCTACTCATGGGTAACAATAATCTCCCTCTACCCCTACCCCACAGCAATTCTCTGCATAGAGAGGGAAAAGGAAAGGATAGGATGGGATGGGAGGATATGAGGTGGTTCTGGAAAACAAAGAAAAAAGCTACCAGGTGATTCTGGTAGTTGATCACATTCGGGCTCGCTGCTGTACTATAATGGAAAACTCTTTTGGGGTGTAGGAATCTAGAATTACACTAGAATTTATGGCACAACAGTTTTATGGAAGCAAAATCAAGTAAACGGGAAGGAGACCAGTTGGAACTAGGGCATCGTTGAGAGGGGAGAGTGCAGGGTTAGTAGTTCTCAGCACCTATACAGCAATCTGACCTCTATTGGAGTATGGTCCAGTAAGGCTCAGAAAGGGCCTGGTTTGTAGTTCATTGTTGGGTACCATCACAGGGCCCTGTCTGCATCATGCCCGCCCCCAAGAGCGATATAGTTGAGGTTGGACAATCTTCATTGTACAGACTAGGGGTCAGTGATGGGCAGTTACCCAGCCACTCAGTCAAACAGCAGCACAGAGGGATGGGAATCCCAGGCTTCTCTTTCCCAGCCCAGAGCCTTCAACACTACCAAGTTCTTTACCTGTCGTTAGTTCCCAGGTAAACTTCACGCAAGCTTTGACCTACTAGTCACACATTCCAAATTAATGGAGAGAGCTGCCTTTTGGAATAAGACAGCTATAAACAAACAAGGTTACAAATGAGGTTGTTAGGAAATTCAAGTTATCTTTCCTTTCCAGCAATGTCTACAGGTGAGGGGAAGGGCTCTATGTCTAATAGGAACACAGGAATCACCTAGTAAACCGCTCTAGATGGCTCCTACTGCCCTTAAAACAGACAGGAGGCCGGGCGCGGTGGCTCAAGCCTGTAATCCCAGCACTTTGGGAGGCCGAGGCGGGTGGATCACAAGGTCAGGAGATCGAGACTATCCTGGCTAACATGGTGAAACCCCGTCTCCACTAAAAATACAAAAAATTAGCCGGGCACGGTGGCGGGCGCCTGTAGTCCCAGCTACTTGGGAGGCTGAGGCGGGAGAATGGCGTGAACCCGGGAGGCGGAGCTTGCAGTGAGCCGAGATCACGCCACTGCACTCCAGCCTGGGAGACACAGTGACACTCAAAAAAAAAAAAAAAAAAAAAAAAAAAAAAACAGACAGGAAACAGCAGTGCCAGTGCTGCCACCACTCCCAACCCCATCACCCTTCCTGCTGTCCCTTCCCCTGCCATTACCTGCACAAAGTGTTGCATTTGAGGGCTCCAGTACCAAAATTGTTTCCCACATAGGAAAGTCTATCTGTTTCAGCTGCCTAAAATGCAGAGAGGAGAAACTCCATTTACAACCAATGTTGAAAGGTATTAAGCATCATCTCTCTTTTCTACATTTGCTGAGGCTTTTGAATCCAGACTCACAATGGATTAGAACTAGTTCATCTCTGGCAGATGATCCAGCTCCACTCTCTCTAAGGGAATATGGGGTGTCCCTGCGGGGGAAGCAAGACAACTTTTGGAAGAGAAGCCTCAGATGGTGCTAGCTTCTAAATGGTATGAAAAGCTCTTGGGGGAATTCTATCACAAGACTTGAGAGAGAGGCCCTGGGCTTCTAGCACTTATAGGCATGCAACAAAGTGATTCTGTAAGCAATCTCTCTTTGGCCCAAAGTCCAAGCCCTTTTTCACCTTCTTTGCCCATCTCTCCCATGACTGTTCTTTGTATACTCTCAGGACCATGGCTGATTGACTCCCCAATCATAAGCAAGCTTTCCTGCTTCTCTGCATTTGTCCTCGCTATCCTTTTCACTTAGAACACCAAACCTTGACTGCCAAACCCTCGTTCCAGCCTTCAAGGCTCAGCTCCAACATGACCTCCCCAAGGAAGGCATTCTGGCAGACACCTCTCCTCCCACTGAGCTCACTCTGCCCTGTACTCTTCCGCACGTGGCCTCAGAGCTTTGTGTAAAAGTGTCCCTCACAGCCAGTTCTCATCTCTCTAGAGCAGAGGTTCTCAATCCAGGGAAATCCACTCTGGTGCTACTGGCATCCAGTGAGTAGAGACTAGGGATGCTGCCCCCACAGCAAAGAATTATTGGCCCCAAAAGTCAATAGTCCTGAGGTTAAGAAACCCTGTTCTAGAGTATGAACTCCGAGTGGGGCTAGGCCTGATTTGGCTGCTTTCCTAGAAGCTTGCAGCACAGGGATACAGAGGAGGTTCCATAAATGCTTGTTGAAAGAATAAATGAATGAAAGATGGAGCCTGTCCCCACATCCCAAGTTGCTGGGCATCAGAGTTCTTCAAAGGTCCATTTGCTACTACTCTCCTGTTTCTCCCCTCACTCCCTCCCACACCACCCACTCCCAGGCGCCTTCTGAGCCCTGCAGAGTGGAGACAGCTGGCAACTGCTTCACTTACCAGGATCCGTTGATTCCTCTTCCTGGGGTTGGTGGAATCTTTGTTCTCATACAAGGTAAAGCGCATGTTGCCCGGACTCTGTAGCTTCCCGTTGGAGAACTGGACTGTAAGAGTGCAGCCCAAGAATTAGGTGAGAGCAGAAGGCCACACAATGTACGGTGGGACTAGACTGTCACTGGGAGGGAGTGAGTGTCAGAATGGGGATGGCAAGGAAGCCCGGGTCCTGACCCAAAGGGAATTAGAGGAGATCCGGGGCCAGCTGAGAAGAGGGGTTAGGGAGGTGAGAGAACCCTGGGGAGGGGCTGTGACAGGGGGGAATGTCTCGCGGAAGGAGGCTGACAGCAGACGCCTGGTCCACACCTAAAGTGACAGAAGGAACCCCTGCCCAGTGAAGAGAGGGAAACGGGGGAGGTGGGAGACCTGGTGGGTGAGGGGACAGCAGGGTCCTGGACACAGCCCTGGGGAGCGGGTGAGTGGGATGTCCCAATCCGGCTGGGCGGTAGTGACAGAAAGACGGACAGGGCAGCCCCGACCGAGCCCAGGAGAGTGGTGGAGACTACAGGCGTCCTGGCCCCGCTGGGGAGAAGCCTAACGGAGTGCGAGGGGACAGCTGAGATACCGAGACGGAAGGGGGTAGGGTTAGAGGAGCACTGCTCCAGCTCTGCAGTCTTTACCCAGTACAGCTCTCTGGCTCCCGTCGGGCGCCCCACAATACTGCCACCTCGCACTCGGCAACACCTCCGCCGCCATCTCGCCTGTCTGTCCGCCAAGCACAGCAATTAAGACAGCAGTATCCACAAACCCGCTTTTAAACACGCGGGAGCCTAGGCCGCGCGGCGGGCCGGAAAAGGCGTGGCCCCAGCCGGGCACCGCCCACAGTGCGCGAGCCGCGTGTCCCCGCCCACCGCGCGGAGAGGCGCGGTCTCCGCCCACAAGGTGCCACACACTCGTGCGACTGGCCGAGGCGCAGCACGTGATGAGCTCAGCGCTCGCCTGCACTCTGGGTTTTGTAGGTCCAGAGCCTGAGGCGTCCTACGGCTTCAGCCTAAGCTTGCTGTGAGCCTTCTTCCGGCTCAGCACAGTCTAGAGAGAGTGTCGTCTCTCTCCTACCGTGACAAACACGTCTTCCCAAGACCTGAAAGACCAAGTTCAAATTTAGAATTCTCTAACAGGAACTCCTTGAGCCCCAGCTAAATGTGGCCGCTGGCAAAAAGCCGCCCCTCTCTAGGACCTCCCACCCACCCACGTGGACATCCAGTTCTAGGTACAAGCTTTGTCCACAGTCCGACAAACAGCGCCCCGCAGTGCGCTGTGGCGTGCACACATGTGGCCCGATCAACCCTGAGGTGATGGAACAGAAGCCCAACCAACCCCAGAGCCTTTGGGCAGGAGATTCTGGACTGAAATAGAAGAGGGAGTCCGAGCTGATAGACATGTCCCTTTTTCACTGCGGATTCAACCATTCTTCTGCACGGGGAGTTTTCAGAGCAGAAAAAAGGCAAAAGCAGGACCTTTAAGCATGGACCCTGGCCGAGGCCCCCTTTGCCCAAAGATGCGTGCTATTGAAGGGCAAGAACTCAGGCTGACTCCCCTCTGTCTTCCAAATCACCTTCTTTCAGGACTCTTTTCCTTCCACACATCCTCACACCCGCCTCCAACACCCAGAATCCTAGGAATAATCTTAAAGCCTGCAACTTGTCGCTCTTTTCTAATTACCCAGTCTCAAACTTAAAGAAACACTGCAAGAACTTTTTTTGCCCTGAACCATTTAGAGTAAGCTGTCAACCTGATACCCTTTCACCCCTGAAGACTATAGTATTTCCTACAGACAAGGACATTCCCTAAATAACAACACAGCCATCAGCAAATTGCCAGGCGCAGAGGCAGAGGCAGTTCTATCCCTTGATTCTAGGAATTTGAAACCAGGCTGGGCAACATAACAAGACCCTGTCTCTACAAAAAATAATCATTAGTCACGTGTGGTGGCACACGCCTGTCGTCCCAGCTACTCAGGTGGCTGAGGTGGGAGGATTGCTTGAGCCTAGGAGGCAAAGGCTGCAGTGAGCTGTGATGGTGCCATTGCACTGTAGCCTGGGCGACCAAAAAAAAAAAAAAATTAAACAGAAAAGAATCAGGAAATTAACACTGGTACATTACTACCATGTAATCCTCACATCCCATTTAAGTTTACCATTGTCCCAGCGTTTGTTGTTTGTTTGTTTTTTGAGATAGGGTCTCAGTCTGTCACCCAGGCTGGAGTGCAGTGTTGCAAACAGGGCTCACTGCAGCCTTGACCTTCCGGGCGCAAGTGATCCTCTCACCACAACCTCCGAGCTAACATACAGGTGTATGCCACCACAGCCAGCTTTTTTTTTTTTTCTTAATTTAAAAAAATTTTTTGTAGAGACTAGGTCTCACTATGTTGCCAGGGCTGGTCTCAGACTCCTGGGCTCAAGTGATCCTCCCACCTTGGCCTCCCAAAGTTCTGGGATTACAGGTGTGAGCCATTGCAGCTGGCCCAATCATGTTTTTATAGCAGAAATGTCCTGTCAAGAATCATATGTTGCATTTAGCTCTCATAGCCCTTCCTCCCTTGGAAGGCTACCTTGCTTGGCCCCACCTCATGATTTTGGATTGAATTGTTCAGGGAAGGAAAAGGGAAGAAGAAGAAAGAAGTAATAAGGATGAAGAGCTTAATTGTGTGATTGTCTCCCCCATTGATCATTTTTCTCACTAAACTTATTTGGGGTTAACAATAAACACTTTGGGGGTTAATAAACAAATTTGTTTGTTTTGATCACTGCTTTATCTCCAACTCCTGAACATAGTAGACCCTCAATAAATATGGAATGAATTAATGAATGACATGGCAAAGAATGGGCCTGAATTATCACTAATCTTGGAAGCCTAGCACAGGGACTGGAACTCAAACATGTTTGGTAATGTTGGTTGAAATCAACTAGCATAGGGTTTACACATAACAGACTCTATAAATGTTTTTTGGTTGAATTAAAATGTGAACAGTTAAATCAAAGTTAAAGGTGACCAAGATAACAGTGGCTATGATGAGCCAAGTATAATTCTTAAGAGAAGTATCTTGGTCCCTTGTGATATAGGAACACATTGTATGGCCTTGTTACTCAAAGTGTGGTCCATGGAAGCAGCAGCCTTGACATCACCTGGGAACTTGTTAGAAATGTAGGATCTCCAACCCTATCAAATCTTCTGAATGAGGATCCGCAGGTGATTCATGTGCACTTGAAGTTTAGGAAGCACAGTTGTACCAGACTGATTTCCTTTTAAGGCACATCTTTGCCAGTCAGATAAATTCTGTGAAAGTCCCCTGGATTGACTGTTTTGTAGCAAGGAGAAAAGGTGAAGAGTACAATACACCCACTGAAGCAAAAACTCCTAGAATTACCACAGGCAAGAATTCCAAATAACAGATATTCTATCCATAGAAGCAAAGTGTTGATGGTCGGGTAGGTGGGAAGGGGATCATACTATACCCCTGTGTTGTTTAATTATTTAACAGTTATTCAAAAGACACACCTACCACACCATGTACATATACATACGTGCCTGTATAACTGGGATGGGGCAGGATGGAGGGAGCCCTTCTTAGGCATTAACCAAAATGCAAAAACCTATAGTGGCCTCTTTTATTTTCTTATTTTATTTATTTATTTATTTATTTTTTGAGATAGAGTCTCATTATTGTCGCCCAGGCAGGAGTGCAGTGGCGTGATATGGGCTCACTGCAACCTCCACCTCCTGGATTCAAGCAATTCTCCTGCCTCAGCCTCCCGAGCAGCTGGAATTACAGGCGTGTGCCACCAGGCCCAGCTAATTTTTCTATTTTTAGTTGAAACGGGGTTTCAACATGTGGATCAGGCTGGTCTCAAACTCCTGACCTCATGATCCGCCAGCCTCAGCCTCCTAAAGTGCTGGGATTACAGGCATGAGCCATTTTTGTGTCCTGTTCTATGAATTCTCTATTTGTATCCTTTGCTTACTTTTACAGTTGGTTGTTGGTCTTACTGAGATACAGGAACTCTTTATATATTAAGGAACCTAGCCTTTTAAATCTATGTTATGGCCGGGCACATTGGCTCATGCTTGTAATCCCAGCATTTTGGGAGGCTGAGGCAGGAGGATTGCTTGAGGCCAGGAATTTGAGACCATCCTGGGCAACACAGTGAGACCCCATCTCTACAAAAAATAAAAACTTGCCAGGCATGATGGCACATGCCTGTAATCCCAGCTACTAGGGAGGCTGAGGCAGGAGGATTGCTTGAGCCCAGAAGGTCGAGGCTGTGGTGAGTCTATCATGCCACTGTACTCCAGCTTGGGTGACAGAGTGAGACTGTCTCTAAAAAAATATTTTTTAAGTCTATGTTATACGTTGCAAATAGTTTTCTCTGTTCTTTGTCTTTCAATTATGGAATTTTTTGCACAATTGAAAAATGTAAATTATTGTTTAGCTTCGTTTATCAGACTTTCTCTCTCAGGCTTTGTATTTTGTTTAAAAATGTCTACTTTACTCCAAGATTATAAAATACATTGTTTGGCCAGGTGCAGTGGCTCACATCTGTAATCGCAGCACTTCAGGAGGCCAAGGTGGGCAGACCACATGAGGTCAGGAGTTCAAGACCAGCCTGGTCAACATAGCGCAACCCCACCTCTACCAAAAAATACAAAAATTATCTGGACATGGTGGCGTGACCCTGAGTTCCAGCTCCTTGGGAGACTGAGGCAGGAAAATTCCTTGAACCTGGGAGGTGGAGGTTGCAATAAGCTGAGATCATGCCACTGCACTCCAGCCTGGGCGACAGAGCAAGACTCTATCTTAAAAAAAAAAAAAAAAATTGTTCCAAGTTTTCTTCTTTTGCTATTATGGGTTAGTTTAAAAAATATCATATTTGATTAAATTGATATTAAATTTGTTGTAAAAAGTCAGGTGTTACCACTTGAGGGTAGTTGTCCATGTTCTCTGGCATTTTGAAGAATTGGACAAAGCACACAAACAAAGCAAGGCAGTGAAAGCAGACATTTATTTATTTATTTATTTATTGAGACGGAGTTTCACTCTTGTTGCCCAGGCTGGAGTGCAATGGCATGATTTCGGCTCACCACAGACTCCACCCCCTGGGTTCAAGCAATTCTCCTGCCTCAGCCTCCCGAGTAGCTGTGATCACAGGCATGTGCTACCACACCTGGCTCATTTTTTATTTTTATTTTTGTTCTTTATCTTTTTTGAGACGGAGTCTCGCACTGTTGCCCAGGCTGGAGTGCAGTGGCGTGATCTCGGCTCACTGCAACCTTTGCCTCCAGGGTGAACGCCATTCTCCTGCTTCAGTCTCCTGAGTAGCTGGGATTGCAGGCGCTCACCACCTCGCCGGGCTAATTTTTCTCCTTTTGGTAGAGAACGGGTTTCACCATGTTGGCCGGGCTGGTTTCGAATCCCTGACCTCAGGGGATCCGACTGCCTCGGTCTCCCAAAGTGCTGGGATTACAGGCACAAGCCACTGCACCCGGCCGGTATTTTCATATTTCAACTGTCAGGCAGAAAACGGAGGGCTTACAACTGCCACGGAGCAATTGCCACGCAGAAAAAGGTAGGGGTGAAAACGAAGTAGCCTCTGATAACCAGTCAGCAGCAGTGGGTCTGAAGGTCACTGCCTCCAGATCCTGTTCCCCTGCCTCACAGGTAGATATCCAACTTACTTTTTCCATGACTGTCTTGCTTATTCTTTCAATATTATCTCCCCTTATGAATCTTAGAACTTAGTTGTCTAATTTCAAGAAGTATCTTATTGATACCTTTTTGGGGAAATATATAGATTACTTTAGA